TCCAATTGTGTTCCTAGCATTATTGGACCAAAGTAAACATCAATTAATCATCTCTCGTGCAGCGCCATCTAGTTGTGAACATGTCTAAGTTATTAACTCACTGAACTTGATGTGTTGCTGTCAAACACCAAAAAGCTCTTCTTCTTATTTACAAAGTCGTCACTGTCCATTCGGCACGGTTTATGTTACAATAATAATTTTGTTTCTCAAAGAGCAAACAAAGGAAAAAAAAACAACAATTAAATTAAAATATTGTTTGCAACACATGTGACTGCGTCCATCAAGCAAAAGTGACAAATTAACAAAATAAAAACAAACGTGAGAAATGTGTTGGAATAATCGCCAATAACAATTGACGGACGGGTCGTCTGACATTTCATTGCATCGTCTCTGTTGTGTTTTTGTAGTTGTTGTAACAAAAAGAAATGTCAAATAAGCAAACTTGGAGAGCTATCGTCTCAAGTTGTTCGTACGTACGTCTTACGCGTTTTAACACACAAAAATTTCGGTTGATTTTCATTTCGGAATTTCACATTATTTTTTGTTAATAGCCGTGGATTGAAACAGAAAAAGTGTCGTATGGATTAATTAACAGCGGAAAAGTGAAACTGTCAAATATGTCGGTGCATAGACACGGTTAACACGAAATGCTGTGTTGAGTGAGTGATTGAGTTTTTCTATTGGCAAAAAAGAAAACGGGCATGAAAAAATCGTCATAAAGATGTGAACGAACCTCGAAATAACGTAAAAAAGAGAAATGAAGAAAACAAGAAGAGGTGGACGAATGTTGTGAAGACGAAGAGAAACACAAGAAATATATAACTTCAATAAAAAAAATCTCTAATGTGTCTCTATCAATGAAAAATGTTTTGATGTTTTGAAAATCTTGTCCATTTGGGGTTTCGAATTAAGTTCAAGAAAACACCAGAAGCAAAATATAGTTTTGTGAAATTTGTTGAGTGTGGTTGTGTTTTGAAAAATAATTGGTGTTCTTGTGCGGTTTGCTTTATACTCATTTATTACCCCAAGTCATTGGTTGCCGTCGTCGTCGTTGTCGCCGCCGCCTCTCACTTTATGACCGCCTCCCAACACCACCCCCTCTCTTTGCGCCCACAAATGGGGGATTTATGAATCGTGTGCTAAAACAACATGAAAATAGGCAACAAGCAAAAAGCAGAACATTTGTTGCTTAGATTTTCAATTAATGAATTGTGTGCTAAATAAAACGTTCGCCAAATAAAAAAAAATCAAAATAATATGCAATGTAAGTATTACTGAAATTCCAATAAGAATTATTCCCAAAGTGCATTGTTTTTATTGTGTGCCATAAGTGAAGTGTAATAATTTTTCCATAAACTTCTTTGGTGTGTTTTTTTTTTACGGCAAATTTCTTTTTTGTCCTCTCCTCTTTGGGATTTGTTTTCGTTGTTTTTGTTTTGCTTGAAATGAAATGGGAAAAAATCATAAACATTTTGACACTGACTACAATTTCGTGTGTGAGAATCAATAACAAAGTGTAACGCACGGAGAGAGCGAGAGTAACTGAGTGAGTGAGAGTGCAAAACATCTAGCCATGTTGAGAGAGTCATTTGCCAGTTTACATTTGATGTTGTTATTGTTATTCAAATTGAAATGGCTATATTCAACAAGGGTATTGTAAGTGATTGACCAATAAGAAGAGCAACAGAGATAGCAGCTGACTAGACAGCCTGTCAGCCAGCCAGCCTGAGACACAGGCTCCAAATTGTTTGTTGTGTTTATGTGGTGTTTTTTTTTTGGGAATTTTTCCCAATTGCTTGCATTAGCAATAGAGTTGCCCGTAAAAGTGGTCAATAAAGTATTTGTTTTTATTATTTACTTTAAACAATAACATTTTTATTGGAATTTGCAAAATTCTATTTGCAAATAATCAGAGGTGTTATTTTTCGGCAAATCAGATAGTACCTATTCTTCTTGTTATTTACTCTCTGTATCCCATTGTCTTCTCTCTTTCTCTTTGCATCACAATATATTGACATATTGCATCAGGGATGGAAAAACTGGAAAGTTTAGGCAAAGTGGCAATGAATTGTAACAAGTTTTGTAAGAAATTGTACGTTTTCTACCATGGGGTGTAAAAAATAATATGAAAGTAAAAAAAGACACAAAGAAACTGAGAATAGGTATAAACAAAATGTTTGGAACATTTATTTAGTGACAATTAAAAAGGGAATTTGCAAGATCGAGTAAATATTTCAAAACGTATCCTGTATCATAAGATATTCTGATGGAAAGAGGAAAATCACGAGTATGGTAACTGTAAATATCACAATGCAGCCGATTCCGGAGAAAAAAATGGTATAAAACCTACAGAAATTGTTATTAAATTTTCCATAAGAAATCAGACTGTTTTATGTGAACTGGAGAGATATTGTGTAGTTTTCGAATTTTTTTTGGAAAAAATTGTACCATCAGAAAGTATCACAATACCTTAGCCGGAAATAGTTTTTTTAGCGACAATCTTTCAACATTAATTCGGATTTTTTGGTACCTACATATTTTTTGAAACATGTGGAAACCCTCGAAATTATCATAAATTGTGAGACCAAAGAAGCTTGCTATAAATGCTCAAAATATCTCTTCTTAATAATAAATAAAACAATTCGTTATATCTTTCAGATTTTTTGAGTATATCTTATTCACACAATTTCGTTGTTATATAAAAAGGGCTGGAGGTGACCAATTCTGTTGATAGCACCAGAATTGTGCTGATCTGACCAGAAATACCTTTGACACAAAAAGGTCGTGCCTTCCATTCTTGGGAGACAACTCTATGGTTATGCCTTTTGGGCTGTGTAATGCAAAAGTCTTCCAAAATATCTTTCCTAGGTCCAAGGCCGACTACCTGAAGCCAAGTTATACACACATTTTTGATCTGAGGGACACCTTTGAAACAATTAGGTCGTGTCTCTCATGCTTGAAATATAAGTCTACGGTCGTGCCGTTTGGGCAGTGTAATGCTAGGAACACAATTGGAGCGAACGACGAATTTTTTCGCGGCGTATGTTCGTCGTCAAAAATAAAACACATATGTGTATATGGAAGTGCACACAATCACGGCACCGGCGAAAATTTCGTCGGTCGCCGCGAACTCAATTAGCTTTATTTCTATTTCATACGCCGGCGACCGGCGAACAAAACAGTACAAGGTGGCCATACTTGTACGAATTTTATGTGTTTTAGTAAATAAAGTTACTTTTTACTTTAAAATTTGTTATGGTCACTCTACTATCTGTTACTCGTATAAAAAAACATAATTAATTTGTTTATTTATTTGTGTACTTGCGCCTGAGTGAAGATGGATATCAGTGAATTTATAATAGAGAAGATGGACATAAGTGAAATTATAATAGAGAACGTAAAGAATTATGTGTTCTTGTATAATTCATTGTAGTCAACAAATGAGCAAAAAGTAAACAACTTCATCAGCTGTTTTATAATTTCGTCGGTATTGTGTTCCATACGACGAATTTTCGCGGCTCATTTTGTCGCCGCGTAGGGCGAAATTCGTCGTTCGCTCCAATTGTGTTCCTAGCATAATGCAAAACTTTCTAATCTTTTCAAGATCCACATTTTCTCTATCGAGTACTGACCTGAAGGACGTATTTTGAGAAATACCTCTGGCACAAATTTTATGTTTTTCAAGCAAGGAAGATTACACTACAAATTCACATTAACGGTGCAATGCCAAAGTTTCCAAAAATTCGATTCCTTTCTAAATCTTAAGCGTCAAAATATCGAATAAAGGGAGGTACCATTGTATGGGGGCTACAAACAGACGTGGACCTGCACATACAATTTTCTGTAGTTTCCATTACGAACTTCAAATACCAAATTTGAATCAATTCTTGTGAATATAATCGCAAAAATCATGATAATACCGAATATTGGGAGGTGCCGTTATATGGAGGCTATACGAAGACGTGGACCTGCACGGAAAATTTTCTGTCTTAGTCTGTAGTATCTATTTCGAACCAAATTTGGAACAATTCCGGTGAATAATGTCGCTAACTTCATTAAAATTCCGAATATCGGAAGGTATCATTATATTGGGGCTATACCAAAACGTGGACTCATGTTCAATACCAAAAGTCCTGCAGGCATAATATACATATGAGAAAAATTTTATCAAAAAGTTTACCATGCCAATGAGAATACTGTACCATAATACGGCCACGCCTTTTGGTGTTTGTAAATTATATTTTTGCAAGGCCGGTGCTATACAAAAAACCTGCAGAGGACAAAAAACAAAACTTGCTAAGGACACAAGAACTAAAAACAGGGTATGCAGGAGGTGTTTTATGAAAATTTTACCTATGTTAAGGTTTATCACTTTTTCCGTCAAATCTTTCACGTGTGATCTTATTAAAATTCCACTGTAAAAAAAATCTTTTTACATTGCCTTTAGTTTTTTTTTTTTTGCCTTTTAGTTTTTCTCAAAAAAGTTGTTTCATCAAATAGTACCATTGGTACAAAATTGTGCCAACACTGCCATTTGATGAGACGAAAAAATTTCCGATAGACTTCAAAGCCGTCATCAACTGAAGTAGTAGTAGTAGTTGTCGTCGTCTTCTCATGAAGTTGCTCGTCTTACGCGTGTTCAACTTGAATGGAAAAAATCAAATAAATTCATATGAAATTGTTTTTTGGCAATAATAATATGCTCTAAAATAATTAAAATTTAGAGAAAAATTTATAGTAAAATGATGTGCAAATAAAATAATGTGAAAATTATTTCGTTGGTGAAATTCTCCCAAAATAAAATATGAAATAAAAATTGTCATAAATTAAGAAGAAAAAAAGCTTTGGCCACACAAGCTTATCATGGCAAAAAAATAAATTAACATAGGCGAGCAATATTTAGATTGATTATTTTTCGGAAAAAAGAAAATTAATTCAACGTGTTGTGCGTTTGTGTATTTCTGCCGTTTTTTGCAAAACAAAAAATCGTAATATTTACATATTATTCTGCTTTTCCAACTTTTACTACACAAAAATAACAAAAAAACCTTATCTGTTTTTTTTGTTATATTCAATCACACTTAACTCGTTTTAATTCTCTTGCTCAATTTGATTTGTTGTTGTTCACAATTGTTGTTGTTGTATGCTGCCGCCGTCGTTGTACTTCTTAACTTTTAATTTACTGCCCCCTTTTTTGGTTGCTGCTTTTTTTGTATCAATCTGTCAAAGGTATGAGAAGAAAAAAAAACAACAACAGACACACTCTGCCAGTCATTGAAACTCACAAAACCTCATCATACTCTCCGATTTGCTCTCCCTCTCAGACTCTTGTGTTGGGGGAGAGAAAAAAATTATTGTAGTAGTATTTTTTTTCTGTTGGGGTGTTCTCCTCATTCTCCCCCTTCACTTCTTTTTCTTTCTTTTCACCTAGTGTGTGACCAGTTGATGTTGCTGCTTCTGCTGTAATTTTGTGTTATTTTGCTCATTTTATATCTACCCATTTGTTTTTGTTTTATTTGTTTTTTTTTTGCATTACATTGGCCGTCTATGATTACACGAATACCACCGGCCTCTTCTAATAGTAAAACTCACAACTTGTAACAGGCAGTTACTGAGTACCTAGGTGGAGAAGATCAAAGTGTTTCTTAATTTTCTCCTTTTTTTGTTAGGCCAACCTGCAAACAAACAAAACCCTAAATATATGTGTATCACCTACAACAACAACAGCTGCAACAAGAACAATAAAAAATCCACTCCCATTTATCCCACCATAGCATTTTATATGACACCCAAATGACTACCCCTCATCATTTCATCCTCTCTCACACACTGGGTCTCTCTGCACTCATTTCATCTTCTCAGCAGCAGCAGCAGCGGCAGCAACAATAATAGTCATTGCAAGAGCAATGACAACAATAATCAAACACTCTAAGACGTACAACAATAACACAACGCCTTCGTCGTCGTCATCATCGTCTTTATCATTCGTGTATATGAGGCAAAATTAAACAGACGTCGTTGTCGCAGCCGTGATACTCATTGCCGTCGCCGTTAACGTCGGTGCTTTGATGTGTTGTCGTGGATGAAAAGCAACGAAGAAAAAAAAACAACACATTTGATTTGTTATATTCCTTCCATTGTCGTAGTCATTAACCATGGCCGTCGCGTCCGTCGACGTCATCAGTGCTGCCGTCTTATTGTCGCTTTGTGTTTCTGTCTGTTAGGCAGATAACAACAACAACACCAACGACCACAACGGTGCTGTGTGTTTCTAATAAAAATGGAAATCCCATAAAATAAAGCAAAAGTAGACAAATAAATAAAAAAAATAATAAAATAAAAACAACAAATAGCCACACATACCAGCAAACACACGAAAGCGCTTCTGCGCCAGTTGCTATATAACCTAGCCAAGCAAAAGTATTTGGCGCTCAGCAACAATTCCCACATGAAAAAAAAAATCAATTATAGAATTGCCCACAAATACAAAAACAATAACATCGCCGCTGAAATTAAGTCAACAGGCCAGACGGCAGAGTAGCCAGCTAATTTGGAATATCATGCTTCTTTTTTTAAACTAAATAAGGTATTATTAATTAATGTTCTAAGTAGAATGTATTTCCTTTTGCATAATCACGCTCTCTCTCTCATTCTCTTTAGTTTTTTTTTTCGATGAGAGCAACAAATTCTGTTAATGTCCAAACCATTCTGGTTTGTTTACCTTAAATCTAATTGGGAATTTGATATATTAGGACAGTTTTTCTGTGGTAATTGCTCACTTGCACTTTCTTAGGTATTTGACGTATAGATGGCGCTGCATACATCTCGAATGTTTTCTTTTGTATATCAAGGTTCCCATCGAATATGTTTTCATAAGTACCGTCATTTCGATTGCCGTCAGTTACTTTGATTATATTTAGGTGAAAAAAGACTCATCTTCCTAAGCTTAAATATACTATGGATAGATCTGTATCACATATAGTTGACGTCCTGTACATATCGGAAATTTTCTTTTGATTAAGGGGGTTTGTAGGTTTCCATAATAAGCCTCATTTGGATTAGCCTTTAGTCTAGGTGAGTGCCTGAACAGGGAAGACGTAGACAATAAAACCAACAGTCCAACGGATATCCTAGTGAAGTCATTCAAAGGAAGTTGTCCCCTACGTGGGAGGAAATCTGGCGAGGAAAGCACCTGGATGATATGAGAAATTCGTAACCAAAGAAAAAATGTCCGAAGGTCTTACAATAGGACCAGACGTAAGAAACTTACAGTAGAACAGCTACTACACCAAGCTAAAAAAACAGCGAAAAAGTATAAATTGTGAAAAAAGTATTGGGGGGGACTCCTGTCCCCTTAAATAGTTTTTTAAGGAACCGAAACTAGGAAGGATTTGAACCTGTATGTTACGCACTTCTGATGGAAAATAATACTAATTTTAACCTGAAGATAGCCTCCTACTGAGCCTGTCCAAGAGGACTAAATGAAAACCCGAAAAAAACAGAACTATGACTTTTCATTAGGAAGACTAAAATCGATCACCAGTCTTCCTGAATTAGATAATTTATATCTCCAGGAAAGTTGAATACCTAGGAGTAATCGTGGACTCTGTAGAAGGTTCTAGGTGGGTACCAAATGCAAAAAATGACGAGAAGCATAGATGATCTGGTAATTTCTCCTTTGCTTTGGAGGTGTCTCAATCGCAGTGAAAACAAATGCTTCAACCAGACCTCCGAAGAGCTCGATTCAATTCGAGCAATGAGTGCGAACTTTTCACACCATCCTCCTTAGCGTTGAAAATCACGATACAGCTCAGTTCGTCCGTGCCGAACTTTAAACACCCTCCATCTTAGGGTAAAGGAAACATTAGAACCCATTATGACCCACAAATACCAATGTTTAGACAGATTCGTGGGAAAATGTGTCAAAAATAAAAAAAAAAAAATAATCAAAATACCGGATATCGGGGGGTACCGTTATATAGACGGACATCGTTAAATCGAATTAGAATTTTATCCTGATTATGAATATATATATATATATATATATATATATATATATATATATATATATATATATATATATATATATATATATGTATATATATATATATATATATATATATATATATATATATTCATAATCAGCATAAAATTCTAATTCGATTTAACGATGTCCGTCTATATAACGGTATATATATATATATATATATATATACATTATGGGGTCTATGACGAAGTTAATATACCCACCCTTCGAACGATAAAGTTAATATACCCACCTTTTCAAGGTGAAGGGTATAAAAGACGGGCACTTAGACGCCTGAATTCATTATTTTTTATGACTTCTCGGACAACCTAAAGATTGTTTGTATTTTAGAACCAGCAAGAGTCAAAAATGCTACTACTATAATCGAGTTTTCTTTTATGATACCGAAGAAAATTTGTAAAACTAGTAGATTTTTGCAGTTTCTGGAACAGAAAATATGTGATGGTTGACTGTCACATTTTAAAATTTATATCTTCCGATAATCGTTTTGAATATGCTAATGGCTCTGCTCAATTCATATTCATTTTGGCTTATGTACACGATATTCAACTCCCTTTAGTCATCAGTAACATCACCACTAGTTTTCTACGCAACGAACACAATCAGGAATCAAAATATTTTTTCGGTTTGCTTTTTCTTGTAGAGTAAACACTTGCTCCATTTCGAACAGATTGACTTCAGCTCTTAAGAATACTCGGGAGCGCTCCACATAAAACAAAAGAGTGTAGAGTAATATTCATGTTCAACTCGTACTCTTTGTACACTCCCGCTCGTGAGTAAGAGCCAGCAAATCTAGCCTATGCTTGTAATATTTTTTTCCGTGAGACAGACCTTGATTAGCTACTCTTGTTTTATACTAACATCAAAGAGAAATAAGAGATGAAAAGCCTACAGTAATTTAGATGAAATAAAATACAAAATTAAAAAATTAAAGAGGAAAGCTAATACTGTGAGCTGGGGAAAAAGCAAAGGAAATGCCAATCCACCTATAAAATGGAATCAAGACATCACTTGGAGAAGATTACAATGTCACGAAAGTTCCTACTTAAAATATCCGCATCAAATTTTGAAATATATGTAGCTTTTTCAGAGTATCGATACGAACTTATATACATATTCTTACTTAAAAGACAGTGACACACTTTCTCCGAACGAAACGATTTTATATGCCCATTAAATTGATTGATCGATTGATTGGCGGCCCAAAACACAAGACCTAAATGTTTGGAATCCATGTCGGCGTCTAAGAATCAAGTGGTCTTTTCTCATGATCAAATTGATTGTTTACTCACTACAAACTTTGTGAAACTCTCTCTCTCTCTTTCCCCAGCCTTTAGAGTGCGTAAATAAAGCCAATAAACTCCCCATTACAAACTGAAACCGAAAAAAACACTAATTTTTATTTGTTTTCAGTTTTATTGTTGTTACTGGCTGTTATAATTTGCAATTTACACAGAATACTCATACACGGTTTACACACGCACACACGCTAAAATTGTAATTCCTTCACAGGAGGAGGAGATGACAAAAACAACAGCAGCAGCAACAACAACCTACCATAATTTCAAAGTAATTTAATATGTGTAAGTGGTTGGTTGTAATTTTGTTTTTTTTTCGTTTTTGTTTTGTTTCTCATTGCTGTTGTTGTTGTTCGGTTCATTTTTAGTGAAGTCAACAACAATTACAACAGCAACATCAACAAGAATGAAATTTACCGTCACAAACAGTAGCAGCAACAACAACAAATACATACCAGCAGGTGTTTTAGTCAACACAGCTGAGTGAGTGTGTGAGCAAACCGTTCATTATGCATGTTCTCGCTCTCTCTCTCTCTCTCTCTCTCTCTCTCTCTCTCAGTGTGTGTGTCTCATCAACAATATTTGGGAGAAAAGAGTACACATTTGTTACTCTGTTAGTTTGAGGGGGAAATTTGCGTGTAAAGGAGGGAAATTTAACACATTTGTCGGTTTGTGATTTCTTTTGGTTTTTTTTTTGTTTGGTGGAATGTCAGATAATGCCGTTTGGTTGTTGTGTAAAATGAACAAACATCAATGAACTTTAAATTGTAATGCGCTTTTTTTCTGGGTAATTAAAGGTGTCTGGAAGTGAGAGAGAAAAAGAGTAGATTTGTAATCGATATTCTTTTGGGAGATATCAATGCCGATAAGGGGAAGTAGACATTCACTACAAAAGTTGACAACATTAAAAAGGACCTTTTATTGTGCATATTCTTAGCGATAAACATGTTAAAAATTATCAGTCGATTGTATCGCAGATGTATACCCTTAGCCAATGTTCGATCATTTAAATATATTTTGACTTCTTTTATGATTATTCAAATTGTTAACCCTCTATGGAGTAGGCTCCAAAGGAATGAGTGAATATTGTCCATTTTGTATTGGACCTAAAAATATATGATAAATAAATATTGCGACGTTTCAGGTTTGGAATATATTGGCTAATTCCTGAGGTAACAGTTATAGCTGGAAGTGGACGGAAGCAAACAGCAACATCAGCAGAAATCGTTTGGAAAGTAAAGAAGCGACTTGATCAAACCCCGCGTCGCATGAGCTCGGGGTAAGGCCATTGAAATTGCAAATGTGCAAGCAACAGAAAGAAAATCGACTCGAAAGAGCTAAAGAGTTGCTTCGCTTGGCCGAAAGTGGTGGACTGCCAAATTTGGTTTTCTCCGATGAGAAAACATTCGTTGTCCAGCAGTTTGTAAACAAACAAAATGATAGTGTTTACTTGCCAAAGAGGTCAGCTGAAAATGTGCACCTTCGGTTGGCCACTAGAACTCAAACGCTGGTCATGGTGATGGCGTGAGCCGATGTGGGCCATAAAAGCTGGTGTATTAAAGCCTTGGGCACCTAAACATTTGAACATTCCAACAGGACTCAGCACCATCGCACTCAGCACGCGCCACCCAAAAATGGTTACAAAATGAGGTTCCTCACTTCATTTCCAGCGCATAATGGCCACCAAAATCTCCGGATACCAATCCGTTGGACTATTGTGTCTGGAGTATTTTGGAAAGCCAGGTTGACACTAAAAAATACCAAAGTGTCGATCACCTTAATCAAGCGCTTCGCCGGGAATGAACCAAAATACCGCAAAGCAACATTCGGGCAGCGTGTGACGGTTTCATTGGCCGGCTGAAGGCCATAATTCGTGCCAAAGGTGACCAATTCGAACAAATCTAAACTTGTTCTAAAATGTATTGCTATTCCGACATTTTTTTCTTTCATTCAATAAAATTAAAAAAAATGTAAAAAGTAAAAATTATTGCGTTTGCGGCACCCTATATAGGCGGCCGAAGTATTTCATTTTCATACTTCATCCCATAGAGATACAAATATGGGCAAAATTACAATAAAATCGAACATTTATATTCAATTGTATGCGATTCTGGTTGAGACAAATATTGGGATATAGTAAGTTGTAGAGAATCGTTGACTTGTTTCGCAGGTTATTACAGATAAAAGTATTGAAAATTGTGACCCTTTGTAGCTGAGGTAGCAGAAGGGGTTCGCAGATAT